CACTCACCCACCCGTTTCAAGCCTGGCGCCTTCAGAAGGCCCGCCCCGCCCACCCGTTGTGGGCGCGCCTCCTCATTGGCCGCCTCGCTCCCACGGCCTCTTATTGCCCTCCTACTGGTTCCGAGCCGCGCCCGTCTCTCCCCGAAACGCAACAGGACCCGCCCCCGCCCGCCATCCGACGCTTCCCATTGGCTGGTTCTCTCCGTCGCTTAAAGGGACGCTCGCGCCTCTTCCGCTCGGAGGAAAGTGGGCCTGGCAGGTGGGAGGCTTATAAAGAGGGCTCCTGATTGGTCGCCTGTGACAGAAGGGGCGGAGCTTGCGCGTTCACGGAGGGGAGGAGAGGAGGGTACACGTGACTGGAGGCGCGCCTGTCGGTCCAGCTGGGGTTCCCGGTGCGCGCCCCCGATCCAGCAGGGACAATAAGGGGGGGACTACAAGCCCCAGAATCCCCCAACCAGCCTTGGGGAGGGCAACTCCCAGAATCCCCCACCCGATAAGGGTGACATATGAGGGGGGGGGAAAGAGACTCTAAACGCCGGGATCCTCCCAGCCAACAAAGCCACTGTTTGGGCCTTGCTGCAAATCCCATCATCCCCTTCCCGGTAGGGCCTCTTTTTTTTTTAACCCAACGGAGGCTCTAGCCTGCCTCAGCCACCTTTGGACTACAACACCCAGAATCTTTTGTTACGGCCTTATAGTGAGGAGACATTGGGAGGGAAGGCGGTGGCTACAAGTCCCCCTTACCCCTCCCTCCCTGTGTGGCCATCCCGTTGGGGGATTCTGGGATTTGTTGTCCCCCTCCCCGTGAAGGTAGCCCTTTCCCGCCCTTGCCTTCCTTCCTCAATGGGTGTGGGGGGGCTGCCCCCTTTCCTTAGGGGCCTTTCAGGTGAGCTAAGGGGCGCCCCAGGTTGCCCCACCAGGTGGAGGAGGAAGAAGAGGAAGAAGAGAGGAGCCTCCCCCCCCCCGGGGACACTCCACATCACCGGTGACAACGGTGAGCTGCAGGTAACCCCAGATGCCTCAGGATGATGTTGGTGATGATTTTACCCCTCTCTCCGTTCCAGGACATGATTGGGTTTATCGTGAGAAGGAAAGATTCTGTAAGGGGAAAACAGCCATTCACGCTGGGAAACGTGGAAGGCGGCGGCGGCAGCAGCAGCAGGAGGAGGAGAAGAGGACTGCCCATATGAGACGGACCGACTCCCTCAAGGAACCCACGACTTTTGACTATGCAAGACCCGAGCAAGGGCTGTTAAGGACGGAGCCTTTGAGGAGCCACCCGTTCATAGCGTCACCGCCTTTTCCCAATTTGGCTCAGCAGCCCTCTGGCCCTGGGCACCGGCCACGGAAGGAAGTGGGCAGGAGGCCACACGCCGGTGGAGACCCCTGGCCGGTGGAGCTTCTCGCTGCTCCTGCCACCTCTGCCTTCTTCTTTGCCCCGGGGGGGTGGGGGGGTTGACAGCCAGGGGACTGGATCGGTGCCCTCTCCCAGAATGTCACACACACACCATGGCCGTGGCTCCCCAAATTCCCAGGGGAGCAGAGAAGCTGGGCTTTTCCTCCAGAGGAGGATGCCCTGCTCACAGGCAGGATGGCCTTGCCAGCGGGTGGGATTTTGCTTGGAGACAGAGCAAATTGGGGAGGGGGATCGTACCCTCTTTGGAAGAAGCAAAAACGGCTTCCAGGGAATGGTTCTTTCAGGGGGAGCTTCCGCAGGCGTGCCAGGGAGACCACCTTCCGGGAAGGGCGGGCTCCGGTTGCCCGTCTCTCGTGCGCTGGTCACAAGGCGCGCCATGCGGGCACCTCCCTCCTCGTCAGCTGCGGGTGACTCTGACTCAGGTACCCGGGGCTTCTGTGGCTCCTTCCTTCCCCATTTCCTTCCTGGCCTTCAGGCCTGGCTCTGCCGCCCATGAGAGAACGCCGACCGAAGCAGCGAGAAGCCCTCCGTGCTGATGGGCTCCTTTTGCTTCGCTTACATGTTCCCCTCTCATTCTGCTTGCCGTCGGTGCCCCAGGTCCAGTGGAGTTCGGGACAGTGTGCAGGACCCCCTCCGCTCCTTGTATCCTCACAGTGACAACCTGGCAAGGTAGGCCAGCCTGACAGGCCGTATGAGAGAGAAAGGAAGAGGAAGCCTTACAAGCCTCCGGATCCCCCTGGTGGGTGTCCTGCTCTAACCATTACCTACCACCACCTCGCACAAGTCTTCAGATGGGCTGCAGTGGAGAGAGGGAAACCATTCCCGCAGCCCCCACTTCATGCCTGCTTCCCCCTCCACCTCCCTGGCAGCCGCTGGTACCACCCAAAGGGCCTCGGCGCTCTTTGCCCCGTGACGGGGAGGCTGGTGGGTCCACCCTGACCTTTGTCACGGGTGTGCAAAGGAAGGCGGTTGCCGATAAGAGGGGCCGTGTGGAAAGTCCAAAGGGGACGCTGGCCCAGGCTGTAACGGGGAACGCCACCCCCTCTTCCCCCTCCTCCCCTGAGGGTGACTCACTCAGTAAAAGGGGAAGGAAGGAAGGCCTGAGCACCCAGCTGCCCTCCTTGCGAAAGGCAGGCCGGCTGCGCCAGCGGGGAAGGGCTGCTCGCTGGACGGCAGGCAGGCAGGCAGGCAGCAGTCGGCGCCCTGGCTGCCACCATGACCAACAGCCGGAGGTTTCATCGGTCCTATTCCCTGCGGGCGCCCAAGGCCCCTGTCCTCCTGGATCTGGCCCCCGGGGATGGCTACGACCCCCTGGAGGGGGGGGAACCTGCCTGGGGGCCGGGAGAGGACCGAGGCCGCAGGACTCCCAGGAAGGGAGAGTCTTCCGGGGCGCAGAGGGCCCCCCGGGCCCCCCAAGGACGATGGGCCCGCCGAGCGGCCAGCCTGAGAGCGGGGAAGGCCAGCCGGAGGAAGGAAGAAGGACGCGAGGAGGCCACGGGGCTGCCTGCGGCCACCCAGGGAGACGCCGTGGCCCACTCTGTGGTCCCCGGTGGGGATGATGGGCAGCTGCTGCTCGCAGAGGACTGGGATGGAGCGGGAGGAAGGATGCAGAAGTGTAAAAAGGTGAGGAAAGGGGCACGCTCGTGCGGGGAGAGGACTCGGAGGAACGGCTGACCCCCCCCCCCCGCCCTGGTGGGTGTTTTTGCTGCTTCCAGGGATGGTGTGTGGCGATCAACCAGGAAGCCCCCCCCGGGGATCCCCATGTCCTGACCTGCCCCTTCCCCATTTCCCTGATGGAGGGGTGGGGGTGGGAGCACAAATGGCCCCGGGAAGGGGTGGCTGGTGGCTCAGTCAGCTTCCTTGCTTTGTATTACGAGGGAGCGTCCTCCCTTGATACAATAAACCAGAGAGGATTTCCACTGCCCCCCCCACTGCCACCCCCACAGAACCTGGACAGTGGATTCCAGGAGCTGAAGGCTGAAAAAGTGACCCCTTTTTCCCCAGCTTGGGTGGGGGAGGTGGGATCTCAAAAAGAGGTGTGTTTGTGCCACTCAGTCACAGATCCAAAAAGTGCCTTGCAGAACTCAGACTGCAGAGGGATCCCTGCTTGTCCGTTTATTGGTTTGCTAGAAGGATGCCCTGCATGTCCTCAGCTTGCTTGAACAGGTCTAGTCCTGTCTCCTCCCCCACCCGCCCCTAATCTGTCCTCAGAACAACAATCCTGCTAGGTAGGGTCACCCAGAGAGAAAAAAAGAGAGAGAGAGGGCAGCCTCTTCTCTTGCAAAAGGCTCACCTTATGAAATAAACCTGTGGGTCTTTCTGTCTGACACCGTGAGTTTTCACTGTCCGAGCAAAGCTTTGCGTGTTAGCTTTTCTGGAGTCTGAGAAATCCTGTCACTGGTGCGACTGAATAAAGAAATTAAAGAAGAAGAAGAGGAAAGAAGCTTCTCTAAGAGGGAGGCTCAGCCCGGCCCTTTGGATGCTTTTCCTCCCGCAGCCCGGAGGAGGGCGCCTTGGAAAAGGAAACCGGGGAGCGAACCCGTTTGCACGTGTCTGTGTCCCACAATGAGAACCCAGGGAGCGGCTTTCTGTCTCTTGAAAGCCTTTCCATTTGGGCGTCTCTTGTTTCCAGGGAGGCCTGAGGCCGGCTGGGCTGCTGAGCTTTTCACAGCCTTTGGGCCAGGCAGAAATTCAGCTGGGGCGGGGGGGGGGACACAGAAAGTGGCCGGCTGTCAAAGCTCCCCAACCCTGGCTGTGAAATCCGTTCCTTCCTTCCTTCCTGCTCCCAAAGAGGCTGGTTTCTGTTCAACCCCTGGAGCCCCTCTCCTGCTCCGACGTGGGTCAGGAGATTCGGATTCCACTTGTGGTTCTCCTCCACCCCCTAACCCTTGTTTTTCCTCCCGATCTGCCAGCAGGTCCACCGTGCCCTCCGGCGAGGCTGGGAGGCCTTCGTGACCAACGTGTACAGCCTGACGTTGAGCTCTCCTGCCCGCCCGCCGGCCGCTGGGCCCCTTCCATCCCCACAGGTGGGAACGAGATGAAGGCCAAGCACCCACCCAATGGAGGGACCGAGGGATGCTGCGTGACAGCTGCTCCCTGTGGAGTCTTCCTTGTTGCTGCTCCTCAAGAGGACTAGAAACTCCGCTCTTGCGAGGGCAGGACTCAGGCAGGGAGCCACATTTTCTGTACTGTGCAACCGCTTGACACACACACATGACTCTTGGAACGAGGACGGAGGGTGGATTTCCCCCTACGTGGTGCCAGCGGCAGTCTTCCTTCTGGCTTGTTGCGAGGAGGCTGGGGGCCGGGGCCTCTCTGGAAATACTCGCCACTGGAAGCGGCGTCAACTCCTACCTGTGTCTCCGCCTCCCGGAATCCTTTCCTGGGACAGTATTGGCCTCTGTACCTTTGGAACTGGTACCTAACCATGCCCACAGCAGGGGTGCACACGTGCCCAGGTAGAGAATGGTATCTAGCAGGTGCCACATTGGCAGTCCTGGTCGCCTTATCTACCTAGGGGTGCGGTGTTTGGACGTCTTATCTACCTAGTGTTTGAAAGCCCAGGGACTCCTCATGACCCTCCCCCATAGCCCACCACCACATCACGAACCCTCACCCCCCAGGAGACCAAAAGTCCAGGCAACTGGATGAGTCTGGATCAACCCATGAGGAACGGGTCTTTTCTCAGGCTAAAGGCTCTTAGTTTTTCACTCAAGGCCAAACAACGTTCAGACTCTTTGCATTGCAACAAACATCTGTCTCGGGTGGGGGGGGGAGAAACCTTTTGGTCCCTTCTATGTAGCTCCGTGGGACAGAGTGATCCGGAAGAAAATGGTGCGCGCATTGAAATGGAAGCAGCGATGTCCTGCTGATTGTTCCTGTCCTTGAGATGTGGGAGTCAGAGGCAGAGCAGGAAGGAGAGAAACACAAGGGATCCCGAATCTTTGATATTTGTTTAACAGAACCGCAGTCCTCAGCTTTCCATGGCTGACATTCTACCCATTGCTCTCGCAGAGAAACCAAGCAGTTTTCCGAAGAATGACATTTATACGTTACAGGGGGCCTCTTAGAGGGGGTCAATTATGATCAGACTGTAAGGATGTAAAAGTTGCATTGCTGCCGTTGGAAAGAAACCCAAACCAGGAGGAATCATTCTGTGAGAAATGCAAAATGGCACTGATGCAGAGCTGCCAGTAATTTTTATTCCTTTCCATGTGAAAGAGAAAGATGGCCCTTTTTTTCCATGCTGTGGGATTCTGGGCAATGAATTTTATTGCCGTGGGTAAAACAAAGGTCATAATTCCATAATTCCATGTCACAAAGAGCCCGTGTGCCAGCCGGCCGGAGGCCTGCGTCTCGCCAGTGGAATGAGAATCGATAATTCAGAACGGCTGGCCTACAAGAGGGAGGGAGGGAAGGAGGGAGAAGGGCATCGGGGCCAGCCCTCCGTCCTGGCACACGTGCAGACCCCGTCTGGAAAAGCCAGGCTCCGATGAGGACGGCGAAGTGGGAGCCGTGGCGTTCTCTCAGCTGGCCTCTTCCCGGATCTTAGACCATGGCTCCTCCGTGTGCAACGGGGAACGGTTTGCTTGGTTCGCGTCTGTCTTTCAGGCTGCTGTTAAACGAAGGGGTCCCTCTCCTCCCCCGCCCGACGCTCGGCCTTTCTGGCCGGCCCCACTCTCGGCTTCGGCCTGCCCTGTTCCAAAGGGGGGGGGGAAGGCACCGCTCTGATCCAGCGCAGGAGAGGGTCCCGTCCTGCTGAGCTTGTCCGTCCTGTGTGGAAATGTCCCAGAGCATCCTTTAGGGGCACAGGTGTGGGGTCTGTGCCCAAACAGATTGTGTCTCCCCTGCTGTGTCCCTTCGAATTCGGAGGGCAACGGTTTCGTTCCCGTGGGGAACCTTGAAAGGAGGTTGCGGGCATGGGTAGGTGAGCGGTCGGCCACCCAGGCTGGTGTCTCTTGGGGCGTGAAGGGTGTTGTGGGCAGGCACTCACGACGGGGCAGGACTGTGGCTTGGGGCGCACGACCCCAAAGTGTGGCCGCCTCAATAAACCCGGATCCCATCCTGACTGGCCTTTCGTGAAGTTTCATTTTCCGAAGCAGCCCATTTATCTGGCCTGGCAAAAGGGGGTTGGGGTGGCATTGAAAGCGATGCTCGAGCCGAATCCCAGGGGACTTGCCTGGAGGGTGTGTCTGTGGGGGACGACCCCTAAGAGGAAGGAAGGCAGGAAGGGAATCCTGGCTCATTCCGTGGAGCAAAGCGACAGAGTAGGCTGTGCTCCGTCAGACAGTAGCCGGAAGGATCCGTCACCCATTTTGGAGGGCGCTTCCACCTTCAGTCACCTTCCTGCTTCCTACAGACAAGGAGAACCAGCACAACGGAGACAGGTCATCTGCCTGGAGGGCCCTAGCTGTGGATCCCCTCCTTTGGCCGGGTTGGACTGGATGTCCTCTGGGGGGGGGTCCCTTCTGTGCTAGGATTCCAGAGGAGGGCCTTGCTTTTCAGCAGTCAGAGAACTGGGCAGGGTACCTGGGCCCCCTCCACCCGGCTGCAGAGGGAGATGCGCCCATGGCTACGTGACAGTGAGCAGGAGCGGGTCCGAAGGGGGGGCTGTGTCGCCTCGGGGTCTCAGGCGCTCCTTTCAGCTCCCCTCTGAAAGCCCCATTCATCCCAGGAGGCGATGTGGCCTCAAACCATCTGGAGCCTTGGCATGGAGGATGGTTGCCCCGGGGTTGGCCGGCTGGCCATGTGGGGTGTCGGGATGCCCATCGGGCGACGCCGGAGACATGTCACAGCCCTGGTGCCACGTGTGACCCCAGACAATCGTGCCAGGGCCCCAGACGAGGGCCTTCCTCAGCCACGAGGAAGCCTGGTGGAGCCAAAAGGGCTGGGTGCCTGGACGCGGCTGGAGTCACGTCCCGAATGAATGATCCAGCCGCTGAACAGAGGAAGTGGTGGCAGGGGAGGGGCGGAGAGGGGGGGCCATTTGCTCCTCCTGCTGCTGCTACCCCCCCCACAACCTCCATAGTCATTCATTCCACCCAGCATTTCAGGCCTTTTCAGCTGGCCCTCCAGGGAGCAAAGTTGGTCGGCCCCACACGGTCCCTCCAGAGGACTCCCCGGTATCTGGACCCAGGAGGGACCTCGTCCGAGCCAGTCTGGGGGGTGGGGGGTGGGCAAGGTTTCCCAGGGCAAGGGTTGCACCCCGTGTGGCGCCATCGCCTCCTGCCCTTCCCTGCCTGGTTGAGAACAGATCCACGTGGAGGGGGCCACGAAGGTCTTTGGGAGCATGCCCCCCCTCCGGGGCAGCCTCTCCAGGGGACTTCAAGGATCAGATGGGGCTTGGGTGACCTGGCCCATCATCCCCATCATCCGTGTTACTGCTTCCAGTGCCCTGAAGGGGCTCGATGGGGGTCCCTCCATGGATCATGGAGAGTGGGCACTCACCGCAGGTAAAGGGCATCTTTGGAGTCCCTCTGCCCACTCAGGGGTGGGGGCGTCGTTGGGCATCTCGTCTGAGGCCATCTGAGCGTCCCTCCCAGTGAGCGGACCTGGCCCATCATCCCCATCATCCGTGTTACTGCTTCCAGTGCCCTGAAGGGGCTCGATGGGGGTCCCTCCATGGATCATGGAGAGTGGGCACTCACCGCAGGTAAAGGGCATCTTTGGAGTCCCTCTGCCCACTCAGGGGTGGGGGCGTCGTTGGGCATCTCGTCTGAGGCCATCTGAGCGTCCCTCCCAGTGAGCGCAGTTG